CTTGTTAATCACGAGTTTGGGCTAGCCCTGGAACAGGGTGTCCAGCCAAAGCACATCTCTGACTTTTTTCTTTGACCTTATCTGATCTTTGGCCTTTACCCAAGGCCACTTTATTACACTTCAGGGTGGAGGGGAAGGGAGGGGAAGGGAGGGGAGGAGAAAGGCAGAGCTTGGCTTTCGCAGGCTCATTTGTGGCTGCTCAGAGATAAAGCGCTCTCCTTGCCGAGTCAGCTTTCAGGAATTCTCGGTTTGTCTGTGTTGTGTTACCCGAGTAGCTTGTTATCTTTGCAGCTTAAGGGCTGACTTGGAAATTCAGACTGTCAACTATTTAAAGAAAATGGAAGTCCCCACTCCACTATTTTAATTAACTTTCAGAGAGTGAGTTTGCCTACTGGTTATGACACTGTTAACTTAAAATATCCCCAAGGAAGCACGGCAGGGAGCAGGGCGTCATGTTTAAAGGCCTTCTTCTAGGAAGAGGAGCTGAGCGAAGCCAGGAAGGCAAAGCAGGCAGGGCCCCCGAAGCAGAGAAGAGGCACAGACAGATCTCAGCAGTTATGGAAATGAAATGGATAATGCAGGTTACGGAGAGCCTTAGCTGCCTGTAGGGTGTTGGAGGGTGGTCTGTGACAGCGAACATCAAGTTTCCATCTTGGATGGTGCGGCATTAGAGCTGACCTGGGACTCACCGGCCATGTGACAAAGTCTCCTAGGCCTGCAATTGTCATCTATTCATTTGTTAAATGGCAACATAACATTATAATGGGGATTGAATGCAATCAGGGGTGGATGTTTTAAATAATGTCATAAAAAGCACTCAATATACACACACGTGCTTTTATGGTTAGGTTGGGAGGAGGAGACTGTCTGAGCAGTCTGGGGGTTGATAAAAAGGACAAGAGAAGGGAGCTGACAGACGGAGAAAAGGATGGACAGATGGACGGGCAGTCCCTAGAGATGACCCAGAGAGAAGGGTGGTGTTACTCGAGGGCAGACAGTGGAGGAAGAGGCGGTCAGGAGCCGGATGCAGTTGAGGGCAACTGGAAACACTAAGCTTGAGAGAGAGGGAGACAGTCGCAAGAAGTGGGGGCCAGAGCAGCCTCGACGTGTTCTGATTGAATAAGCCATATTGTCCTGCTCTAGGAAAGTATTTGAGACCTTCTGGTCTATGTTTAAAGCTCAAAGCAAACTCAATGAAGTTCTAAAAGCCAAAAGCTGCAGCCACCCAGTGAACAGGACTAAGGTGGAATTTAGAACCGCCCGAGGCCTCCTTGCTGGAGAGCTGCTCCCTGCGAGGGAGGCCCTGCTGCACGTCGGCATCCTCCCAGCCTAGACCAGGCTGGCTCGGTCCCGGCGTTCAGATGGCACTGGAATGAGCTAAGGATTTTGTAGGACTTTAATTGAGCGGTATCGAGGATGAATACATTTCATTTCAGCACCTTGCCTCCTTTAAGGAATTCCCCTTTGCTTCCTCCTATCTGAGAAACATCACTTAAGAAAATAATCGCAGATAACCACAGTCCCAACTACACAAAGTTGCTCACCACAGCATTATTAATGTTAGCAAAAACATGAGAAACAGTTCATATTTGAAACAACAGGGAAGTGGCAAAGTGTGTCCATCAAATTGATGGAACGTGGCAATTGCAGGAACTGTTCTAAGCACTTTGTAAATTTTAATTCATTTAATCTTCATAGCAATCTAATGGGGAGTATACTGTTAATATGTCCCATTTTACAGATGAGGAAACTGAGCCTTGCAGAGTTTAAATAACTTGCTCAAGATTACACAGGTAAAAAAAATAAAAAAGATTTAAAAAGCCCTAGCCGGTTGCTCAATGGTTAGAGCATTGGCCCATGGACCGAAGGGTCTTGGGTTCGATTCCCGGTCAAGGGCATGTACCTCGGTTGTAGGCTGGATCCCCCCCGGGTCAGGGTGAGTGCAGGAGGCAACCAATCAATGTGTCTCTCTCACTATGATGTTTCTTTTTCTCTCTCTCCCCCACCCTCCCTTCTACTCTCTCTAAAAATCACTGGAAAAATATCCTCAGGTGAGGATTTTAAAAAATAAATAAGATTACACAGGTTGCCCTGACCAGTTTGGCTCAGTGGATAGAGTGTCAGCCTGCGGACTGAAGGGTCCCAGGTTCGATTCGGGCCAGGGGCACATGCCTGGGTTTAGGGCTCGATTCCAGGCAGAGGGTGTGCAGGAGGCAGCTGATTGATGTTTCTCGCTCATTGATGTTTCTAACTCTCTATCCCTCTCCCTTCCTCTCTGAAAAAAAAAAAAAAAGATTACACTGGTAACCAGTAGCAGACCTGGGATTTGAGTGAGGCTGTCTGGTTCTAGCATCTTTTTTTTTTTATTGATTTTTTACAGAGAGGAAGGGAGAGGGATAGAGAGTTAGAAACATCAATGATGAGAGAGAATCATTGATCGGCTGCCTCCTGCACACCCTCTGCCTGGAATCGAGCCCTAAACCCAGGCATGTGCCCCTGGCCCGAATCGAACCTGGGACCCTTCAGTCCGCAGGCTGACACTCTATCCACTGAGCCAAGCTGGCTAGGGCTGGTTCTAGTATCTTTGATCTAAACACGGTACAACATTACATCAAGGTATTTTACTTTGCCTGATTTTCTTAAATTAGTTTTATAACAACACTTTGGAGATAAAATATATCCTCTCCATTCAGGGGAAACCAGATAGGGCAAGGGTGGTAAGCCACCCAAACTCTGTTTCATTATAAACCCAACGACCAAAGTTCCCATTTCCCATTCGTTCTCTCATCAGCAATAACCCACTGGTAATTTACAACATCTTTCTACATCATTCATCTTCTCAAAACCACGGGCAGCCTGGCCTGTGTTGCTCAGTGGTTGAGTGTCAACCCATGAACCAAGAGGTCACCAGTTTGATTCCCAGTCAGGAAACATGCCTGGGTTTGGGGGTTTGATCCCCAGTAGAGGGCATGCGGGAGGCAGCTGATCAATGTTTCTTTCTCATGGATGTTTTTATCTCACTATCCCTTTCCCTTCCTCTCTTTCTAAAAATCAATAAATTATATTAAAAAAGAATTTTAAGAACTACCCTGCAGAGTTGCTAGTTCATTAATCCGAATTTACAGATGAGGAAACTGAGGCCCAGAAGGGACAATGGCTCACTCCAGGGCATGTTGCTAATTTCTTGACTCCCAGTCCCATGCTCCTGCTGTTCAGCATGATTTAGACAATTTCAAGCCCGCGTTCCCATTTCTTCAGCCTGGTAATCATTCAGGGACCCACCAGGACCACGCAGAAGTGAGGAATAGGGGCTGGTTTGGCCCAGAGGTCTGGAGGACCACAGCAATGTTCCTCTGAGCCTTATCCTGCCGCAGGCAAGGGCTCTTCTCTGAGGACAGTGTGTGGAACCCACTTTTCTCTCCTGTTCTTTCCCCTCACACCTCAGTGTGGCTTCTCCAGACCCACCTTCGTCCCAGAGTCTCTTCAGAGAGTTGGGATAGGATGATGATAATGACAAGGGAAATATTGGTACTATAATAATCTATAATAATAGAAGCATAATATGCTAATTAGACCAGACGTCCTTCTGGACGAAGCCGCGGCTGCTAGGGAAGCCCGGGTCCCAGGTGCCAGAGGGAAGCTGGTGCCGGCAGCCGGGGGAAGGAAGTCCTGCTCTTGCATGAATTTCGTGCATCGGGCCTCTAGTTAATAATAATAGTGAGAGTGTACAGAGAGCTTGCTGCATGCAGAGGCCGCCCTGGCAATGTTTGCAGACATCGAAGCCCACAGTCCTTGGTTGGGTGCCGGTTTGCTGAGGGAATGAGGCTCAGAGAGAGTGAGCCAGTGCCTCCTGGGAGGAGGTGGGGGAGGCAGGGCTAGCCATCCCCACCCCAGAGTGCGCTTGAGGCCCTGAGCCTCCTTCGTAAATCACTTCAGACTCAGCCCTACGCGCATTCCTCTCATATCTGATCTTCCTGGGAACCGGCTCCCCCAGGACAGAGAGCACTCCTGATGTTAACGACCCAGAAACCAATCCATCCTCATTTTATCTCCTGACATTTCCTTTTAATTACGAAAATGCTGTTTACTGGTTTTTATAATTCCTTCAAACATATTTCCTAACCTGAAACAACTCTAAAACATGATGTAGCACAAACGGAGCTGGTAGGAGAGGTGAGCGGGTTTGGACCCTCAGTCATCCTACCGAACCCCAGGGGCAGGCAGACGGCATGGCGGGCGGGGCGTGGGGACCGGGGTGAAGAGCTACTGCGGCTGGAGGTTTTCACACTTGGAAGGCATTAACTCGCATCAGTCCCTTAAGGAGCACACGGCTCAAAGGCTTGGCTGGGAGCAGGTAGAGCTGATCTGTAAATAATCTACGGGAAGTTTATGGGTCGAACATTAACACGCAGAGGCGAGGCTTCCAGCGGGTGACTGGCCCGTGAGCCTCTGACAGGAGCTTTGCCACTGTTTCTACTTACAGGTAGAGGCTAAATTCAAACACAAACACTGTGATGCAGCCAGTTACGCAGCCAGACCCGAGTCTCGGTGGCAGCACTACAACTGTCGGGTCAAGTGTGTGCAGGGTGAGGCCCCGCAAGGGCAGCTGCAGAAAGAGCCCATTAATCCCTTAACTAAGCAGCTGACGGGTTTACTCTTTTTGTGTTTATGGTATAGCTTTTCAAACACAGGATTATAATAAGTTTAAAAAAATCAGCACAGGCTACCAAGGCTTTTTATAGATTTCTTTGTCGTGTTGACAGACGACAGAAACTAGAACTTGGAGGGCCTCTGCTTACAATTCACTGTCACTCTGGATTGAAAAATTGTAAGAAAGCTTCGCTGCCGGATTTATTAACAAAAAGAATAGGTCTCTATTCGAAGAGGGCAGCGATCTCAGCCTCATGCCTGGGAATCTACTTGCTTTTGATTTTGCATCCATTGTTATTTAAAGTAGCAAAAAAAGACTCACAGTAATATCAGGAAAGAAACCACTTTACCTGGTGTAATCCCCTTTGGCTTCCTGGAATAAAACAAAGACAGATGATCAATTTGTATGTATGTTAAGTAAGCCAGAGACATTTTACTTGGCCATTTACCCTCTCAAAGTCCCCGAGTTCTGCTTTATTTTGAAGAATGTACACAAGAACACTTTCTGTGGCCGCTGGGAAGAACGTGGCATGGATTAGGAATCCCTGGTAGCCATGAAATAGTTCTTATCCTTAACAGAAGAGACAACTATCTCTTTAAAAGCACGGACCATTATTTCTCCTTTCATGTTCCTAAGAGCATGTGATTAATGCTTGCCTATTGGAGCGGTGCACCTTTTAAACCATGACACAGGTCCATCAAACATGCTGTTTACTCTTTTGAAACCAGCATGGAGCACACTTGGTGTTTTTTTTTTTTGTTTTAATCTACCAGTGCCTTTAAGAATTAAAGGGCTCTTTAAACCAACCTCAAGGAAATGTCTACAGAAATTACCAAACTTAAATGTAAATTACAGCCCTCCCAACAACGGCTGCCTCCTGAACTCCAGGCACCGGGAGCGCCTTTCTAAATTTCCTTTTCCTTTGAGACACACAATCTCTCACTGCAGCTCACGCAAACTGTTCTAAAACAGAAAACGGTGGCTCACATTTTTCATTGGCAAACAACCAGCTGGCTTAAGAAGCCGTCAGCCGCCGGCCCGTGCAAAAGTTTCAGAGTTGCCGGCAGTTCACAAAACCAATAAACAGAAAGGAGCAGTGGCCAGTTCTTACCTGCAAAGCCAGCGCCGCCAACCTGAAGACGGTTTCGCTGTCGACTTCGATTTGCCCCTGTTGGGGGGAAAGAGAGCATCGGTGAACAGCAGCCCTCCTGTAGCAAGTGAGTGGAGCTGGGGAAGCTGTCACCGCTTGGCACCTCAGTCTGCGATCAGATGCAGATCATACCATTGTGTGAAAGGGAGGGGCGAGCAGAGGCGCCTCCAGGGTTAAGAGGAAGCCACATTGTGTGTGTGTGTGTGTGTGAGTGTGTGTGTGTGCGCGTGTGTGATAATTAGCCGTGAGAGTTTGCTTAGAAAGCACTTCTGGAAGGAACATGAATGACTTTGAGGCTGAAAATTCAGACAACTTCTAAAAGAATAATTGTTATTTCTACAGGTTCATTTTTAAACTCTAAAGATTTTCTTAGATTAGTTCCGTGTTTTCCTGAGAATTTTTTTTCTCTGTGCCATAGCATGCTTATTTTGGTATATACACAATGTAAATATTTTTAAAACTATATAAATTCATGAGGTATCACCTCACACCTATCAGAATGGCAACCATCAACAAATCAACAAATGGCAAGTTGCTGGTGAGGATGTGGAGAAAAGGGAACCCTAGTGCACTGCTGTGGGAATGCAACTGGTGCAGCCATAATGGAAAACAGTATGGAGTTTTTTCAAAAAACTAAAAATGGAACTGCCATTTGACCCAGTGATCCTACTTCTAGGAATATATCCCAAGAAGCTAGAAACACCAATCAGAAAGGATATAAAAACCCCTATGTTCATAGCAGTGTAATTTACATTAGCCATGATCTGGAAACAGCCCAAGTGCCCATCAGCAGATGAGTGGATAAAAAAAGCTTTACACCATGGGATACTATGCAGCTGGAAAAAAGAAGAATCTCTTACCCTCTGAGACAGCATGGAGGGACCTGGAGAGTATTATGCTAAGTGAAATAAGCCAGTCAGAGAAAGACAATATCACATGATCTCACTCATATGTGGAATCTAATGAACAAAGTAAACTGATAAATAAAATAGATCCAGAGACATGGACACATGGAACAGACTGACGATTCTCAGAGAGAAGAGGCGGGGCCGGGGGCGGGGGGAGGGCGCTGGAGGAGATTAACCAAAGAACATGCATGCAGATATGTATAACCCATGGACACAGACAACAGTGTGGTGAAGGCCTGGGGAGGGGGGATGGGAGCAGGATGGAGGGTGTCAGTGGGTGAAAAAAGGGACATCTGTAATACTTTCAACAATAAAGATAAGAAAATAAAAAGATAAATTCACTACTGTGACAATGATACTTTATTGAATTAATATTTGTACCATTATAGATACAATGTAAAGCCTTAAAAAGCAGTTATATCAGCCCTGGCCGGTATGGCTCAGTTGGTTGGAGCGTTGTCCCCATGCATGGAAAGGTTGAGGGTTTGATTCCGGTCAGGGCACATGCCGGGGTTTTGGGTTCGGTCCCCAGTTGGGGCAGGTATGGGAGGCAACCGACTGTGTTTCTCTCTCTCCCTTCCCCTCTCTAAAATCAATAAACATATCCTCGAGTGAGGACTTAAAAAAAAAAGCAGTTACAGCAAATGCATCAAAGACTAAAATTCTGTTGCTTTATATTTAAGTTTGATGGGATCTAATTTACCATTTTTCCATTATTTTATTTTTTCATCCTTCAAGCTCTGAAATTAAAATAGTACTTCTGGGCCTCATTAGCAGAACTACTGCTTCAGTAGCCTGGCTGGGATGCATAAGTGTGTGCGGAAGGGCGATTGCTTCTGTTAACAATACTCAAATGCGCCTTCATTTATTTTATTAAATACAGTGATATATGTAAATACCATTACTGCATTATGTTATATATTGCAACAATATGTGGGTTAGAAGGATCTCTGTTTAACATTTTTTGTGTGCATGATATTCTAGCTTGTAAGCACACACACACACACACGTAAAAATAATTCTACGTGCGTCGCCCCTGGCCCAGCCCCTGTTCAAATAGCACCTGAAGGTGCAGTGTTCAACGACATGGAACTCCCGGCCTGGACATGGCCCTGCACTCTCTCCTCCCTTCTCCCCGAGACCCAGGCTGCAGGGCTCCCACTGCGCCCAGCGTGTCAGGGGAGGGACTGAGCAGTTTGGAGTAAATGCAGTCCGTGGGCTTACAGAAGCCGCTGGCCCGTGAGGGTGTCTGGGAGGGTGGTGCATTTCTCTCAGGTTTCTGAGTGATTTCACTGGAGTTCTCAAAAAACAAAACAAAACGAAAGCCACAAAATGAAACCAAACACCCAGGACACTACAATGTCAGCAGTGGTCCTGTCCGTGTTCCTCCTATGTTACAAAATGAACACAATTCACTTCATTCACCAGCATCTGGGTGTCCCTTCTGAAACCCGAGGCAGCGGACCTGCTTCAAGGTGTTCTGCTTCACACACCGGGGGCCCAGGCCGTGAGCGCGAAGCTCGCCTGTGACCTCTCGAACCCGATCACGCAATCAAAGGGAAGCCAGGCCCATGGGCGGATCGATGGCCTTCTGTCTTTCAGGCAAGAGACAGAAAGATGATGGAGCAGTTAACCCGACAGGTGAGCTGGGTGCTGATGAACATTACCTTTTAGAAAGGTTAAATTCCTTACTTTCAAAGTAAAGGAAATTCATGTAGAGTGAGGGGGTGGGGAGAGAGGGCAGATTCTAAAACATCTTTGAATTTGCAATGAGGCTGAAACTCAAAGTTAAAGTCAAATTTGTCTTAAAATCTTAGCGAAGAGAAAAAGTGAATTATTTTGGGTATGAAAATGACTAAAGCTGAATAAAACATATTGAAAATATTTGCCAACTCCTCTATACCCCATGACCCGCTCTGCCTCATCAGAACCTTGGGTGAGTTATCCAAACAATATTTTAGACACCAACTTTTCAATTTAGTAAATGGAAGTTCAGCAGATAAAAGACCTCAAACAGATACTCTGAAGGATGCTGCCAAATGAGTCTCCACCGTAGAAGGTCATTAAGTATTAAAAACGCTGGAATGTGGAGCTGGAGCCTGCGCGTACCAGGCTGGGACAGCCCGAGGAGTGGGGGCACTGCGCCCCTGTGCACTCCTCACCCGCGCCGCGCCCCGCCCCAGTTCTGGGGGAGGAGGGATCACGGGTGGAGGGACAGGCCCTATCAGGATCCGGGAGAGAGAAGAAGCGGATTTGGCAGAGCCTCACGTTCTTTCACACACCTCAGCCCCCATCTCGCCCTCCAGTTAACCTCTGTTCTGGAAATTCAAGGCAACCTATAATTTTTTTTGCGTGGAATTCACCAAACCATGGGGCAATCGGGAATAATACTATTTGCCTGGTTCTCAGCAATGTCACACGGTGAAAGTTAACGAAGACTTAGACTGAACTGTACAATTTCGTGCCTGAAATGTGCAAGTTCTTTAGAAGCTGCAGTCTGTCCTGGGACAGAACATTCCTCTTACTTACAACCATGGCAACGGCTGTAACCCTATAGGACCAGCAAGCTAACACTTGAGAAGCCGAGCTCCTCAAAGAGCGAGGTAATGGGATCCCGCGTGGGTTTACATGGCTGGCGAGGACAGACAGGAGCGGACGAGCCAGGCAGATGATGTGGCCGAAGGCACTGGGTCACAGGGAACAGGACCCGGCCCTGGGGCTGCTCCCTCGGCTAATGTAACCGGACTACGGATTCAGTCGCTGGGTCGCTGGGATCGGGCTCCACATGGGACACCTTGTTTTCGTCCTTGGCTTGTTGGCTCAGTTGATCAAAACATCATGCTAATGAGATAAACTCTAGGTTTTTGCTTCCCAAGTAGGAGAACAGAATAAAAAACAGTTTTAGAATTTGGGAGTGAAATTTGTGCAACTCTGACTCCTGTGGTTTTCCGGATGCTGGCTCTCCCCGGGGACATGACCCTCAGTGCTCTTCCCGCTCCCACAGCCGGTGTGCACGCTGGCCCCCGGCCCAGGCTCTGCCCACTCCGCTGGGCACTAGTTGACTTGCTACGACTCCAGTGCAAATATCGCACCGGGACTCTCCCAGAGACATGCTTCGGTAAACACTGGAACCAGGGAGGTCAGAAAAATGACTACCAATGCCCCCTCCGCTGTTGGTGGGACGATATGTCATCATCGAGCACCCACACTCGTAGTCGAATGGGAAAACTACTTCTGAACACTCGTCCTGCCTTTTCTGTATCGATGTTGTTCTCCGTGGGAACTCATTCTGCACTAAACCACAGAGAATCCTCAATGCCCGCGGATGGAGAGAAAGGGGCTTCTTGACATTGGTCGCCAGTTGTGTCCACTGTTGAGCTGCCCCGGTCTTCGGGGTCTGGTTAAAAAGCCACCACCTGGCAAGAATGATGCCTTAGACATTGCTTAGCTGCCCTCACTGTGGCTTGCCATTAGGCCTGCAAACAGTGCAAAGCGCAGATGTGATAAGGACATGAGTGAGTCAGCGGGTGCAACTCATTTCTTCTGAGGGCACAGCTCTGTGCAGGAGGACCTGGCCAGGCTTGGGAGCCCAGATCTGTGAGCTGACTAGTTTTTGGACAATTAGGCTAGCAGAGGGGCCACGGCAACACTTCATACCGACCTACTGTCTAACAAGGCTATTTTTAAAGCATGTATTTGTATTGATTTCAGAAAGGAAGGGAGAGGGAGAGAGAGAGAAACATCAATGATGAGAGAGAATCATTGATTGGCTGCTTCCTGCACGCCCCCCACTGGGGATGAAGCCTGCAACCCAGGCATGTGCCCTGTCTGGGAATCAAACCGAGACCTCCTGGTTCATAGGTCAACGCTCAACTACTGACCCGCACCGGCCGGGCAAGGCAATTCTTGTCATGCCCCTGAAGGCCAGCCCACAGCTACCACATGTGTACCCCCGTCCTCCCCATGTGCAAATGGACCAAAACTTTCTCCTTGTTGTCCAAGCTAGTTGTGAGAGGTAATGCTTATGGAGGATGGATTCAATGATCTATTGCTCGTTCTTTTCTAAATCAGGGTTTTGCAGCTGTGGCACAAGTGACATTTTGAGCTGGG